TTTCCGACCCGGACAATTTTAGGGGTCTACACTACCTAATTCATGTCTGACACTACTCAACCTACTCTCGATGTCATTTAGACAAATATCCACTAACTTGATGATGCTTGGCGCCACATCTTTGAGACTCAGTATCACCAAGTTAGAGAATTCTCGAGTTTTTAGGTCTAATGTCACTCATTTTTTGCTCGACGTGATTAAAATAGGGAGCTCCGTAGTAACCAATGCTTGTCGTTGTCAATCGCATGCTTAATTAGCATGATCATGACAGAGAGCCCATAACTTGAGTTACGCATCAAAATATATATATATATATATATATATGTGTGTGTGTGTGTGTGTGTGTGTGTGTGTGTGTGTGTGTGTGTGTGTGTTTTTTTGTCTTTTTGGTGTGTGAATTTGAATTAATGAAATGAAGTATCAAATGATTTTTAAATTCTTAAAAAATTTACAAACTTGATCTATGCATTAAGAACTTTAAATTCAACGATTAAATCGTTAAAATTTGATGTAGAACATGAGTTATTGAACAAAGTAAATTTAGGTAGACTGACTTTTGGAATAAATAAATTCTTCTTTTATATATATATATATAGAAGGGGGTTATAATAACGCCGGTGTAACTTTTACTAAGTGTTACACCGCTCAATTACTTTATATTAAATGCGAATTTTGTAAATCTAACCGTTAGATTGAAAATTCATATAACTTAGATCATATATACAAAATTTTATATTAATCCAAGATGATTTGATATTTCATTTTTATAAAACAAGATTGACGTAATATATTCATTTCAAAATATACTAAAATATGAACACTTTGATCACGTTCAAATTATTATTTAATTTTAACAAAATTTGATATGCACATATAAAGTGATATGACTCAATCTAACGGTTAGATTTACAAAATTCATATTTAATATAAAGTTATTGAGTAGTGTAACACTTGGTAAAAGTTATATCAGTGTAATTATAACCCTCTTATATATATATATATAATAAGTCGTTCCTAACATTCATTTTTGTAAGGTTTGAATTCGACGCGTTCCTTGGAAAAAAAAAAAACAAAGCTTCATAACTCATACAACTCAAAAAAATTAAATCAACTTACATATTTAGTCAACAAAACAAACTTAAAAATAACATGTTGAGTTTTTTTAACAGATTTTATGTAACCCTCCAATAAGATAACTGTACACTACAGTATGTGGCAAGTAATGACAATAATTGAAGAAACAACAGCAGGAAAATGGTGAACACAGATGATAGTGGCACTATATTATTGAAAAATACCAATTATAAATACGTATAGTCAATTCTCATAATGTAACCCGTTACTTTTCTTTTTATTATCTTCCCTTCTCTTTCCTTTTCATATAAATAAATTATTTGGTTATCTTTATCTACAAATCATTAGGTTAAATAGATTCCATTATTACACATTACTCAATTTTATTTTATAATTCAAGTAACTCATTTCTTTAATCAATCAACTATAAATTTTGTTAAACATTAGAAATTACTTTCATATTCTTAATTACATTTTATCACTATTTCATAAAAAATACAAACACACCTGCAAAAGCTTTTTTAATTTAACATTATTTTTATTTTACATACATTAAGCACTATTTTTTTTTATAATGACGACAAAATTAAAATACAAAAAATTATGTAAATTATCCCCTAACTCCTTACTATAATGATTAAGCATTAGCAACTAATATTTTATGAACTTGTATAAGGAAGACACTCCAATAATCATTTATTAGAATATATCACCAGAAATTGTCATCATTATACATAAAATAAAAATGATAAATGAATTTTATGAATATTTTATACCAGTAATATAATTATTAAAAAATTAAGACTAATAAAATTTTATATTCTAAAATATTTTATCAATGTTTCTTATATTTTTATGTCTTTCTTTTATCACAGGATGAATTATTAAAAAATATATTTTTTCTTTCCTCTCTTATTATGTGTTAAACGATAGTAGAAGTATTCAATTTTTTTTTAAAAAAAAAAAAAATTGTTGATATGAATAATACCAAACACAATTCTCTCAAGTATGATCTTATATTTAAGTCATATATATAAAGAAATACGTGATTTGGATGGAAAGAGTGGTCAACTAAGTTATATAACATGTTAAAAAATTATAGTTTTTTATTTTATTTAAAATGAGCTATTGTTTGTTCTATATTTTTTTCTTAAAATCTTTGTAGCCGTATATCCCATATTTAGAAACATTTTCCAACACTAAAACCAATCATAAAAAAAAAAGTGAAACAAACATAAAGAAAAATGGCAGCATTCATCCATATAATAGATATATATAGACAGACAGGCAGGAAGACGAGCATGAAGACGCAGTACAACCGAATGGGTTCCATGGCGAGGCTCATCCTCTTGCTGACACCCCTGGTTCTCCTGCTCTCACGCGCGACTCACGTGAGGTCATGGAGCCCATGCCCACCCTGCGGCAACACGACGGTGCCGTTCCCCCTGAGCACCACCCCCTCGTGCGGCGACCCCTCCTACAAAATAAGGTGCAGCAGCAGCAGCAGCAACAGCCTCCTCTTCGACACGCTCAACAACTCCTACCCCATCCTCTCCATCAACGCCAAAGCCCAACGCCTCGTCATCCAGCCCGCACCCTTCCTCTCCAACACCTGCGTCACCACCGACAAAGCCCACCAGGGGATCCAGCTCAACAACACCCTCCCCTTCAACATCACCAGCTCCAACACCATCGTCTACCTCAACTGCACCACCTCGCTCCTCCAGTCCCCCCTCAACTGCTCCGCCGCCAGCGCCTGCCACCGCTACATCAACGCCACCGCCTCCGCCTCCGCCTGCTCCCACGCCCCCCTCTGCTGCACCTACCGCACCGGCGGCTCTAGCAACTCCTACGGGATTCGCGTGAGGGACTCTGGCTGTAGTGCTTACTCTAGTTTTGTTAACCTGGACTCGGGTCTTCCCGTCAACCGCTGGCCCCAACCGGGCTTGGAGATTCAGTGGTTGTCGCCCAGGGAAACTGTGTGTGGGTCCCAGGGGGATTGTGACTCTGCCACCTCCACTTGTGGGCCCGATGCTTCTTCCGGAAGTGGGATCAAGAGGTGCTTCTGTAACCATGGGCTCGTCTGGGACCCTATTCAGGGGCTCTGTGCTAAAAGTGAGTTGTATTTTATGGGATTCTACCTAACTTTTTTTCTTTCAACTTTTCTCATTTGGTGGCTGCGTTGACTTCTTTTTGCAGAGATTACTTGCCAGAATCCCGATGGTTGTGACCACTCAACCAACACAACCGCCATAATAGCAGGTACACTACCCATCTAATTTCCACTTTTACATTTTTTTTTATTTTAAAAAATTAAATATGTTCTTTGTTCGTCTATCTAGGTAAGTTTCTTATAATTTTAAAAAAATATGCTTTAGTTTTCGAACCATTTGTAACATCACAAAAAGATAGATGGAATTAATCCTGTTGCTTTAATGTGAAGTTTTCAATTATAAAGAAATTAGTAGGTGAATTTATGGAATAAATTCATTAACAAGTGAGTTTTATTTAGAAGACTAGACAAAGAGACTAAAATAAGTTTTTTTTTTTTTTAATTTAGAGAGACCAACATTAAACTGATATTAAATTTGAGAGACAACATATTTTAGAATGTCAGAAAACCAGAAGCAATTCATCATTTATGTGAACTTAAAAGTCCTGGTCAATATTGGAGGTCTAATTGGTATAAATTGCATAGTTGGCAGTTGAAGATTAAATACTGATTAAAGGAATCTACAGAAGAGTAGTACGTTATAAGAAAAGATAAAGTTTTAATTTATATATAAAAAGAACTAAATAAATATGTATATTTTCATTACAAAAAAAAGTATATTCTGATAAGTTGATGTGAATTCAGTGCTGATAAATTGGCAGTACATTTCATGTATTGAGGAAAGGAAAAGAAAAGAAAAGAAAAGATCTAATTTTGTATGATGCACTAAACTTGGATGTCAACTCCAGTTCCTGTGGCCTCCTTTGAATGATAGTATGCAGTATTTATTGATAAACTATGTGCAGGTTCAGTATGCGGGGTTGGAGCTGCAGTTATCCTGGCGACGATCGCCATTCTCCTCTACAAACGGCAGAAGCGCATGAAAGAAGCACAAGCACGGTTAGCCAAGGAGCGCGAAGGAATTCTGAACGCCAGTGGCGGTGGCAGAGCCGCCAAACTTTTCAGCGGCAGAGATATAAAGAAAGCCACTAACGACTTCTCCAGCGACAGGCTTCTCGGCGTCGGAGGCTACGGCGAAGTCTACAAGGGCACTCTCCAAGACGGCACTGTCGTGGCCGTCAAATGCGCCAAGCTTGGCAACCCCAAAGGCACCGACCAAGTCCTCAACGAGGTTCGCATATTGTGCCAAGTCAACCACCGCAACCTCGTTGGTCTACTTGGTTGCTGTGTCGAACTAGAGCAACCTATTTTGGTCTATGAGTTTATAGAAAATGGTACCCTTCTTGATCATTTGCAAGATCAAATGTCAAAGGGACGTGCTTTTCTCACTTGGACTCATCGCCTTCAAATTGCACGTCACACTGCTGAGGCTCTTGCTTACCTTCACTTCATGGCTGTGCCTCCTATCTACCACAGAGATGTCAAGTCCAGCAACATTCTCCTTGACAACAAGATGAGTGCCAAGGTTTCCGATTTTGGCTTGTCTAGGTTGGCTCAAACGGATATGAGTCATATCTCTACTTGTGCTCAGGGCACCCTTGGTTACCTTGACCCTGAGTATTATAGGAACTATCAGTTGACTGATAAGAGTGATGTTTATAGTTTTGGGGTGGTGCTGCTTGAGCTTTTGACGGCTCAGAAGGCTATAGATTTTCATAGGGCACCGGATGATGTCAACTTGGCGGTTTATGTGCATAGAATTGTGGCCGAGGAGAAGTTGATGGATATTATTGATCCAATGTTGAAGAATGGAGCTACCACTATTGAGTTAGAAACTATGAAGGCCGTGGCTTTTCTGGCTTTGGGGTGCTTGGAGGAGAGGAGACAGAACCGGCCTTCCATGAAAGAGGTAGCAGAGGAGATTGAGTATATCATTAGTATTGCCTCTGCAAAGGTAGTGGAGAAGTAGTTTAGTTTCTTTTCATGTTGGTGAAGTTTTGGAGTTGTATCATGTTGTTTTTGGATTTTTTTAGTTGTGAACTTGTGTTTGTGTTTGTAGTTGCTAGGCTATGTTTGGAATTCTCTTGTTTTGCACTTGTATATGTATATGTAATTATGTAAATGTATTGTTACCTTTGCTGAATGAAAAGAAGTTCTGCTGTGAAACACAATATGTAACAGTTGTTTTGCATCCTCGTCTTGTTAAGCTGAAACATTAAATATTCAAGGTTTTTCATTTGCTTTGATTTTATTTGTTTAAATACAAACAATAACCGGTGTTGGATAATGGATTGCATAACTGCAAGGAGACTGATGTTCAACGTGTTGTCCTAAACTCTATTCGGGAGGATTTGCAACATATAATTTATTGGGTTTGACATTTGATATCGTTTCACAAGTGCATAACAAAAGGATTCGCAATCTTTGAGAAATAAATTCAAGTTTATAAGGCCTAGTGGGTTCAGTTAGCTTGTAATTCTTTAACTGAACAGACAAGTACTTGTACTGTTGTACATTACGGATTATGGACATTTTCAGTGAACCTCTTTTTTCACTCTTCTCTCGTAGGAGAAAGTAATGAGAGAAACTAGCCTCTCTTTAGTTTCCTTTCTTTCACAGATATTCAATCAATAACAAACAAAGTTGACAAAATTCTAGTGACTGTTAAAATGGATAAAATTATAATGAAAACTACAACAGTCATGTAATGGAATAGGAAGATCAGAGCAGAACGGAATGTAAATTTCAATTTTATTTAAATGGTTGTTGGATTGAGCTTATTAGCTAATTCACAAACTTACAATTTGAACTTTGAAATAGAAACAATAATAATTTATTCTGAGGACCTCCGGTACTAACAAAGCACTAATATCACTCTCCCAAGCGTATAAAAGAATATCAATCGCTCAAAGCATAGGTTAAACCAACAGTGAAGTTTAATGAAATATTCTAAATAGCTTCTTAGGCACCCATCCACCAAAATGAGGGTGATGTTGAAGAGGTGAAGGTGCAGGTGTTGGAGGCAGATTTTGGGGCTGAACAGTAATAACAAGTTTTTGGCCAGCATTGCAGTGACCAACAAAACCACATATGTACCATTTTCTGCCAGGAGTTTCCAATACAATACTGTCACTTCCAGTGTGCAATCCTTCACTTGCTGGAGGAACCGTGCAGCTCTGGAATAATGTTCCATTCACTTTGAACACGTTGTGTTTTCCAGCATCATAATTGAATACTGCAAATTACAAAATGAATAGGGTATTATTATGAAACACTTCACTCTGTTGGGAAAGAAAGCAGAAACATGTTAATAAAACATATTCATTTCAAAATATACTAAAATATGAACACTTTGATCACGTTCAAATTATTATTTAATTTTAACAAAATTTGATATGCACATATAAAGTGATATGACTCAATCTAACGGTTAGATTTACAAAATTCATATTTAATATAAAGTTATTGAGTAGTGTAACACTTGGTAAAAGTTATATCAGTGTAATTATAACCCTCTTATATATATATATATAATAAGTCGTTCCTAACATTCATTTTTGTAAGGTTTGAATTCGACGCGTTCCTTGGAAAAAAAAAAAACAAAGCTTCATAACTCATACAACTCAAAAAAATTAAATCAACTTACATATTTAGTCAACAAAACAAACTTAAAAATAACATGTTGAGTTTTTTTAACAGATTTTATGTAACCCTCCAATAAGATAACTGTACACTACAGTATGTGGCAAGTAATGACAATAATTGAAGAAACAACAGCAGGAAAATGGTGAACACAGATGATAGTGGCACTATATTATTGAAAAATACCAATTATAAATACGTATAGTCAATTCTCATAATGTAACCCGTTACTTTTCTTTTTATTATCTTCCCTTCTCTTTCCTTTTCATATAAATAAATTATTTGGTTATCTTTATCTACAAATCATTAGGTTAAATAGATTCCATTATTACACATTACTCAATTTTATTTTATAATTCAAGTAACTCATTTCTTTAATCAATCAACTATAAATTTTGTTAAACATTAGAAATTACTTTCATATTCTTAATTACATTTTATCACTATTTCATAAAAAATACAAACACACCTGCAAAAGCTTTTTTAATTTAACATTATTTTTATTTTACATACATTAAGCACTATTTTTTTTTATAATGACGACAAAATTAAAATACAAAAAATTATGTAAATTATCCCCTAACTCCTTACTATAATGATTAAGCATTAGCAACTAATATTTTATGAACTTGTATAAGGAAGACACTCCAATAATCATTTATTAGAATATATCACCAGAAATTGTCATCATTATACATAAAATAAAAATGATAAATGAATTTTATGAATATTTTATACCAGTAATATAATTATTAAAAAATTAAGACTAATAAAATTTTATATTCTAAAATATTTTATCAATGTTTCTTATATTTTTATGTCTTTCTTTTATCACAGGATGAATTATTAAAAAATATATTTTTTCTTTCCTCTCTTATTATGTGTTAAACGATAGTAGAAGTATTCAATTTTTTTTTAAAAAAAAAAAAAATTGTTGATATGAATAATACCAAACACAATTCTCTCAAGTATGATCTTATATTTAAGTCATATATATAAAGAAATACGTGATTTGGATGGAAAGAGTGGTCAACTAAGTTATATAACATGTTAAAAGCTTGTGTGCTTTTTCCTTTACATCTTTGAGTTCATATTCATCATTAGATCATTGATGAATTCCTAGAGTTAGGATTCTCTTATGTACATGAGTTTTCAAATTTCACCTTCCATATCAAAATAGTGAATCAATCACATTTTCATTGAAATTTCTTCTCTTGCATTGCCTTCACCCAGCAGCCTTTGTCTTTATGAGACTGCACTTCTTGGAAGCTTTCAGGCTCTCCCTCATCAGCAATGAGGATGTATTCATAATTGGGGTACTTTGTAGATGGTTGGCGTTCTCTGGTAGATCTTATTCACTATTTTGATATGGAAGGTGAAATTTGAAAACTCATGTACATAAGAGAATCCTAACTCTAGGAATTCATCAATGATCTAATGATGAATATGAACTCAAAGATGTAAAGGAAAAAGCACACAAGCAAAGCACATATGATCAACAATGAGTCTTGGCCAACACTCAAAAGAACCCAAAAAATTTTCAGCATATGAACACAAGCACATCTTGAATATTTTTTTGACATTTTAAAGGACTAAACATGACTTGACAAAACTAATATTCAAAAATAAAATCAAAACACATGCATACTCAATGAACTAGAAGAATCAAATCAAGGAAATAAGAAATGACTTAAACAAATTGAAAACCGGACAAGGTAGAATTCCTAGACTCAATGTGATTGCCGGATTTTCAAATACAATCACACCAATTCGATCTCTCAAAATTTTTGAACAAGAATTTAGATCCAAACAGCAAAACCAATAAGAGACATAAGAGAACACAAAAACAACAACAAAAAAATTTGGTGGAAAAGGATTACTTAGCTCAAGGAAGCAACCTTGCTCTTGATACCACTTGATGGAGTAAGTAGAAGCAATGGATGAATTCTTGCTTCTTTGAACCTTCTCCGAATAGGAAGATCTTTTCCTTGAAGCTTCCACCGAATGGATGATCAATAAAGAAGAGTAATTGGACTGATTAGGATCCCTAAGCTATGGATGGAAGCATCCAAGCTCAAGAACCAAAAGAAAGCTCACTTTCAAGAGTAGGAAAAGGTATAGGTTCTCCTAGTTCTAAGTGAGTTTCGGTGACCTTTGAGAGAGAATGGAGTTGAAGTAATATTCAGAAAATTCTCTATTATTCAAAAGTGTCTTACAAAATATGAAAGGCTAGCATTTAAAGTCACGGATCAATGAAATTGGTGCCATGTTCAAGTGCACACAAAGTGGCGCCAATTTTGAATTCAAATTCAAATTTGAATTCAAAGTTGGACGTCCACTTGCACATGCCATGTGCTGCCATCCCTTCTAGAATTCTAGTTGCATTTAGAAGTAATTTAGGGTTCATTTAAGTGTACACATGTGCAGCCACCTTTGGCACAAATCATGTGACTCAAATGAAACTATAATTACTCCTAAATGTAATTAACATTCTATGATCTATGCTTAATACTTAATCATCTCAAATTCCAAATCTAATGGCCTAAATACAATGGCCAAGTAAATACAATGGAAAGCAAAAATTACAAGAATTGAAATGAGCCCAATATTGGGTACCAAAAGCCCAAAGGCCCATGAAGCCCAAAACTAGGCCCAATAAGCCTATAGCCTAAAATGCTATCCTA